GGATCTTGGGCACACTCGCACAGGGGCCCGGCGTGAGTTTTAAGCCACTGGGTCTGGGAGACCAACCAGATTGACTACAATGGAGTCTGGCGTCATAGCCATTACGCTAACTGCTGGTCCCTCAGGCAAAGATTTTTTAAAATAAGACACTAAAAGCACAAAAACTGGTAAGTTCTTTAAAGGACTTTTTTTTTTTTCTGAGAGCTTTTTGCCATAGGGGCATGTGTGCTCACCTGAGAGACAGAGAGAAACAGAGAAATTGAGAAATCACCCCCCTAGGGAAGGCCACTCTGCATCCATTCTGCTCTCGCTCTCGGGATCTTGGGCATGCACACACACGTGCCCAGGGTGAGTTTTCAGTTGCCAGGTCTGGGACTCGAACCGTGGTCAACTACATGGGAGTCCAGTGATGTAACCATTTCTCCATCTGCTGGTCCCTTAAAAGACATTATTAAGAAAACAAAAGGAAAAAGGACAGATGGGAAGAAGATTTTTGTGAAACGTGTGTGGTAAAGGACCATGTAGAGTGCAGAGAGCTCTCAGAAGTGACGGGGGGAGCGACCCAATTAGAAGCGGACCAGCAGATGCATGTGGGGTAAGTGAGCACGTGGCAGAGGCACCCGGCCCTGTCCCCGGGGAAGTCCAGATTGGAGCCACCACGAAGTGCCACTGCACACCTTCGGAAGGGACTGTGTTAAAATGACTGACCAAACCGCACGTTGGTGAGGACGCAGGGAACTGGAGCTCACGCACGCCGCTTTGGGGGTCTGAGACGTTATGGCCACTTTGGAACAGTGTGGCCGTGGTTTAAAGAGCTGAACATACACCTGCTACACCATCAGTCACTCTGCTCTTGGGTATGCGTCCAAGCAGAGCTCAGAACGGAAGGCACCCAGGCGTCCATCGGCGATGGCTGCATAAGCCGGTACGTGATGGGCACTGCCTAGCAGTGGGAGGGCGTGCACTGTCGCTCCAGGACGCAGCGTGGGCGACCTGCCACACCGAGCCACGCCAGGTAACACGCGTCAGACCACACGAGGATGCGTGCTCTGTGATCCGCTTACCTGACGTTGGTGAAAGCTGAGACAGTGAGGACAGAAGGCAGATGGGTTGCCTGGGTGGGGAGACAGAGGTCACAGGAAGCGTGTGGCCGTGCGAGATGCAGACACGCTGGCTGTCGAGTCGGCTGATGTTCCTGTGGGTGTAAGCCTACACCAGAACGTGGGAAGTGTGCATGTTGAACTGCACAGCCTCCAGAATTGCACTTACACCACCATAAAGCTGTTAAAAATGGTTTCTGAAGGGGCCACCAGATGGCACAGTGGTTGGGGTGTAGAACTCCCTCATGGCTGACTGTGGTTCGAGTTCCAGACCTGGCAGCTTGGTTTCACTTTCCACCTCTGTTTCTGTCTCTCTCTCTGCTCAAATTAAAATATAAATAAATAACAATGGTGAGTAAAATTAAATAAAATAATTCTTTAAAAAATAATGGATACCAGGGACCAGCAGTTAGCGTAATGGCTATGTCACTGGACTCCCACGTAGTCGACCGCAGTTCGTGTCCCAGACCCGGTGGCTTAAAAACTCACACCAGGTGCGTGCGCGTGTGTGCCCAAGATCCCGAGAGAAGAATGGAGGAGAGGGGATTGCGGCATGACCATCCCCCCTGGGGGGTGATTTCTCACCTTCTGTCTGTCTCTCTGTCTGGCGAGTGCGCGCGCCCTAGAGCAAAAAACCTCTAAAAATAAATAAATAGATAGATAGATAGATAGATAGATAGATAGATAGATAGATACCTAATACTTTGACAAGAATGCAATGCACTTTTGTGTCACGTGGTTGGTTTTTGCTGTTAGGTAGGTGGAATTAGCGATTGCAGGGGAGGAACCAGGCTCTGCGTTGGATAGCTAACTTACCGGCTGACTGCAGCCCGGGCCCGGCTTCTGCCTGTCATGGCGGCCCGCTGCTGGAGGGACATGTGTGTTGTGCGGAGTCTCTGAACTTAGCCATGGGTTCCAAGAATTTGAGATTCTTTTCTCGTTTTTTTTCCCCAGAGGTATTTTTGTGATAGGATGCGTGCGCTTCCCAGAGACTGAGACAGGCAGAAGGTGGGAAATTACCTCCCCGGGGGGGAAGACCAATAGATCACCCCATCTCCTCCGTTCTCCTCCGTTCTCCTCCAGGGATTTTGGGCACGCACATCCGCGTGCCCGGCGTGATTCTCAGGCCATCTGCACTCGCTCTGCAGGCGGCTGAGTGGGGAGGCCATGACGAGCCGGTACGCCATCTGCTGGCCCCTCCTTCCTCTTTCTCCGTGACTCCTGTGGAGCTCTGTTTTGCTTCTGTCCTCTTGATGTCTGCCCCCCGCCCCCGCTAGCAGAGAATGGGTGTGTGAGCTTCGAATTGGTGTCTGATGCTTTCTCTCAGGGCACAGTCCTTCGCGGAGCGCCTGCGCCTGGGCATCGCGGTGATTCACGGAGAAGCGCAGGACGCCGAGTCGGACCTGGTGGACGGACGGCATTCCCCGCCCATGGTCCGGAGTGTGGCTGCCATCCACCCCAGCCTGGAGATCCCCAGTGAGTGTGCGGCGCCTCCTGCCGCTTTCCTCTGATTCTAAGGCCGTCTACATGGTTGTCTTTAGGAAAATAGGAGCTCCCTCATCTCCTTAAAGTTGGCAAAAGCTGATTAACACCTTTCCTGGCCGGACTGTCATAAATGCTCTTCTGGTCTGAGTTACTGGGCCCTTTGGGAGCCGTCTGTCTCAGCACTGGAGGCCCCATGTTCAAACCAGTTAGACGGTTATGGCACGTCAGCGAGTCTCAGCCATTCACCCCGTAGTGTGTCTTAGACTGCAGTCTAACTTAAGCAGAAAGCTTTTTTTATACATAGTTATTCACTGTAGTGGTTTTTTTAAAGAATTGGTTTTTTAGCTTGATTGATTGATTGACCAGAGAAGCAGTGTGTGTGAGAAAGGGAGGGAAAGTGAGAAAGCAAGCCACCAGGTCCGGGACTTAATCCACTGTTGGCCATGTGGGAATCTAGCGCTCTTGACCACCCCGCCACCTGCAGGCCCGTATAGTGTTATTTTTAATGCAAAGAAAAAGGAAAGGTTTAATCGTGAACTGGAGAGGAGAGCTTGAGCTTGATAAATCAGACTGCCCAACAGCTGATTATGTAACCCTTCGCATTAGCCATCCAGAAACAAGGCCTACTCTGTGGCGTATGTGCAAATCGGACGTGTGAGGCTGTACCCCTGTGTAGTCAGTTGATGCTGAGGCTGCTAGTCCAGAACCTTAGACCAGGTGACAGAGGTAACAGAAACCGGGCCGGCGGTTAGGACGGCTAGATCTCAGCGGCTGGCTGTGCGGTGTGAGCTGTGGACCTGGTGACTTGAAGGGCACACTGGGCGTGTGTGCACGCATGCCCAGAGTCATAAAAGGAGAATGGAGGAGAGGGTTGTGCTTGGCCAGCCCTCCTGGAGGTGCTTTCTCACTTTCTGTCTCTTGCTTGCTCCTGTGTCCCCCCACCCTCCCACAGTGTATGCGTGCGCCCTGTAGAAATTTTTTTACAAGAAAGAAAGAAAAAAGAATCACAGAGATGTGTGTTTCACGGTTCCGGAGGCTGGGAGGTGCGTGACTGATATGCCGACAGATTTGGCGTGTCATTTGAGTCCCACAGAGGGTGCTTTCTTCTGCATCCTCACTTGGTAAAGGAGAGCGGAAAGGTCCTTCAGGCTTTTATAAGGATGCTAACCCTGCTCATGAGGGCAGAGCCCTTGTGACCTGGTCACCCCTGAAGCCTGCACCTCTTTTTCTCTCCGTCTTTTTGATGTCAGAGGCCACATTCCCTAGCCAGAGAGAGACGGGGGCGGGGCGGGCAGTGAAGTGCCCCCACTGGGGCATGGTCACACTGCATTCCCCTCTCCACATTGCTCCATCCTGATGGGGTCTTGGGCAAGCGCGTAGACCTGCCCAGGCCGCCAGGCCACAATGTCTGGACTGTGGTTGCCCCTGTGGGACCCAGCTCCCTTAATCACTAGGCTAGAGCCAGCCCACGGCCCCACCTCTTAATACCATCACAAATGGGTCCAACATGAATTTGTAGGAACTCGGCCATTCAGAACAGAGCATTGCACCGCTGGCCCAAAATTTATGTTCGTGTCATATACAAAACATGTTCATTTGGTCCCAGTAGCTCCAAAAACTTAACTCCAGTTAAGTCTCATCTTAGTTCTAGTGTCAACTAAAGGCTTAAAGTTGCAAGTATCCACTAAGCATCATCTAAATCAAATATGGGTAACCTTCAAGGTAGGACTCGTTCCGAAGCAGGTTCTCTTTAGTTGTGAACTACAAAATCAAGCAAGTTATGTGCTTCTGACACACAGTAGTGGGACAGGCATAGGACAGGTATTCCCATCCAAAAAGGGAAAAGTAGAAAGTCCAAAACCCAGCAGGGCAAACAGCATTAAATCTTAAGCCCCTTGAATAACCTTTGACTCAGATTCCGCCATCCAGGCACGCTAGAGCAGGGGTTTGACCTGCAGAGCTCTGGGCAGCCCCACGCCAGCCCCACCCAGAGCTTAGCCGGGCTCACCCTGTGCAGGAGCTCTTCCTGTTGGAGGTGCATGCCTGCTCCTCCCAGGCCGCAGTTGTGTGCTTGCAAATCTGCCATTGTGGGCTAGAGGCATCCCTGTGCCCTCAGTTCTGTTGCATTTTGCCCTAGTGAGAGGTCTCTGTGATGGCCCTGCCCCGGTGACAGTTCTCTGCCTGGACCCGGTTCTCTGGGGCATCCTTAGAAATCTGGGCGAAGGTAGCTATGCTCATTCTGTGCATCTGTAGAGACAGCACTGCACACCACGGTTTTCCCCCTGCGCCTGCTGGGAGGGTGACCTGAGTTGCACCTGGGAGGTCCAGGAATCACTGCACCAGAACGCAGGGCTTGAGCCTTGAGGTCGTTCTGCCCCCAGGCTGCGGTGGACATTCACATTCGGGTTTCTGTGTGGACATGTGATTTCTTTTCCCTTGGTATATATCTAGGACTGGAATTGCTTGGTAATGTGGTAATTCCATGCTTCACATTTTAAGGAACTACCATGTGGTTTCCAGAGCAGCCGTACCATTTTACGTTCTTGTTAGCAGTAAACAAAGGTTCTAATTTTCCCACATCCACAACACTTACTTTCTGATTTTTTTTTTTTTTATTATAGCCACCCTAGTGGTTATGAAATGGTTTTGATTTGCATTTTCTTTCTTTCTTTCTTTCTTTCTTTTTTTTTTTTTGAGAGGTTTTTGCTATCGGCGCATATGCTCACCAGACGGACAGAGACAGAAAGCGAGAAATCACCCCCCAGGAGGATGGCCACGCTGCAATCCATTCTCCCCTAGGGATCTTGGGCACACACTCACACATGCCCAGTGTGAGTTTAAGCAAAAGCATCCAAAAGAGGGGCTCAAACCGTGGTCGACTACATGGGAGCCCAGTGACAGCCATTATGCCAACTGCTGGTCCCTGATTTACGTTTTCTTAATGACTGATGGTGTTGAGCATCTTTTTATGTGCTTATTGGCTGGTTGTACCTCTTTAGAGACATGTCTATTCAGGTCCTTTGCCCATTTTTGAATTGGGTTCTTTGTCTTTTTATTGTTGAGGTACTAAGGGTTCTGTTTTTTTTGTTTGTTTGTTTTGTTTTTCTTTTTTTGAGAGTTTTTTTCTTATTGGGTGTGTGCGCTCGCCAGAAAGACAGAAACAGAGAGATAGAAAGTGAGAAATCACCCCCCAGGGGGGATGGCCACACTGCAATCCCTTCTCCTCCATTCTCCTCTCGGGATCTTGGGCACGCACGCACACGCGCCCGGCATGAGTTTAAGCAACTGGGTTCGGGACTTGAACCGTGGTCGACTACGTGGGAGTCCAGTGACATAGCCATTACACTAACTGCTGGTCCCTACTGCTTCCTTTCTGGTCTGGATGTTTTCTTTCTTGTCTTACCTAATTGCTCTGACCAGTGCAACAGTGAAGAACAGTGTTGGAAGAAAGCATCCTCGCCTCGTTCTTGATCTTAGGGGGAAGCCCTTTGTCTTTCACCCTAAGTATCACGGTAGCCGTGGGGGTTTCATGGTTGCCTTTATCAGAGCGAGGAAGTTCCCCTTCGTTCTTAGCGTACTGAGCGTTTTTATCACGAGACATTAACTTGTTTCAGGCTTCGCTTTACTTTTTAACGTGGCGACTTTGGTGTGTGTGTTTTGTTCTGACCAGTGCTGATTCAGTGTGCCGCTGAGGCGCACAGGAAAGGCCGGTGGTGGTGCGGCAGGTCCGGCTCACTGAGCCGGTGACCTCCCGGCCCCACGCTGGGATGCCGCCCTTAGTTTATTAGCAAATAGCTGACTCTTAACTAAATATTGTGCAGCTGTTTGTCATACCGTGGGAAACTGTTTTGTGATGAAAGTAGGGTATAAAGTTAAAGATCGCTGTTAAAAACACGTCGTAAAGCTACTTGCAAAAAGAGCACACACTTAATGCCCTTCTAGTCCAAAGAAGAGCAGGATGAACACCTGCGTCCCCACAGCTCCGCTCGCGAGGCCTCGCCAGGTACCCTTGAAGCCTTCTCCGGACAGCAGGTGTCCCCAGCCTGCAGCTGTCCCTCATGCCCTCTCTTACCTCGTTTTGTTATTCTCTTTTTTAACTTTGTTCATCTGCTTGTGCGTTTACTTAATGAGAAAGCGAGAAGGGCCCTCAGCAGGGTCGTACGCCACAGTGCCCGCCCCAGCCAGCCGGGATCACGGGCATGACCTGGCCTGGCGTGTGAGGTCGACCAGGGATGCGAACCCATGACCTTCACATGGATTCAGCCTCATTTCCACCCTGCCCGAGCTGGCCCTGTTCAGCGTGTCTCTTGGTGTCCTCGGTGACTCTGTTTAGAGGTCCTCATGCAGTGACACGTCCTTGTTCCCCTTTTCCTTGCCGGGCGGCGTCTGGTGTGGAGCTGCTCCACAGCCGAGTCCTCTACTCCGGGCACTGACCGTGCAGGTTTTCCCACTTCCAGAGAGCACTGTTTTGAACAGCTTGCACCCAGTTTCTGGTGTGTGCAGGCGTTTCCGGGCACCTGGGCGTGAACTGTGGGGTCTGAAGGCTGCTCCCCAGGTTTCTAGAGCTGTTGCACGAACTCCCACGCTCCCCAGTGGGTACCGAGTTACCCCGAGTCATTTCGCTCAGTTAGTCTCCCACATCATCCCTCAGGGCAGTAGGTGCCCGTCGATTGCTTTATTACTGGGAAGCCTGCAGAGACAAGACGCTGTGATTCCATGCCTTTTCCCCTTTTTGTTGCAACTTCTGTTTGTTTGTTTTTAATTTGCCAGAAGATGTTTGTGCTCACTGGAGAGAGAGAAAGAGAGCGAAAGCACCCCCTATGGGGACGGCCATGCTGTAGTCCCTTCTCCATTTCTCCCTCACTGGGGACTTGGGCTCACACATGCTCACAGTCTGGTGTGTGTGTCGAGTCTGGGACTCAAACCGCACAGCTGGCTTTGTAGGATCCAGCTATTAGAGCCATCATGCCACTGGCTGGCCCACTGCAGTTCAAAAAAAACAGAGAAAGAAAAACAATCCTTTAATGTTGAACCATCATAGACTCCCAGGAAGTAAGAAACGTGCAGAGGAGCACTGCAGCTCACCTTCCCGGCTGCCCCTCTTGCTCTAGCTGCGGCCTCAGCGCAGCCTGGACGCCCGGCGCACACCCCTCCCCTCCGTCGCACTGTGCTCCTGCTGTGCACGGCTGTGTGGTCCCATCAGAGGAGAGCCACCACAGTCGGAGTTAGCACCACAGTCGAGGACAGGGCTGTCCCTCCCAGCCCAGCCCCCATGGCGCCAGCGTCAGGCTCCGCAGTGAGGTGGGGCAGCTGGCGAGCAGAGCATGGGTGGGTTCAGACCAGCCTGAGCAGGCCGGAGCAGTGGCCTGCACTCTACTCCAGCGGGCCGAGAGGTGGGCCAGCCGTTGTGACAGTCAGAGATCTCTCATTTAGAAACAGACCGAAAACCAGAACCGGGTCGTCACCACAGAGCTCCTTGTGCCAGTCCTCAAGGCCACAGCCAGCCCCTCCTTCCCGGCGGCTTGGCCTGTTTGGGCTGCCTTAAGGAAGACCTGAGACTGGGTGCTTTAGAAAGAGAAGAGATTCGTTCCTCACAGTCCCAGAGGCCGCAAGTCCGAGACCGAGGCTCTGAAGCTCCGGTGCGCCACCAGAGCCCGCTTCCGTGTGACTGCTCGTCCCCTTTCCTTGCCGAGCGGTAGCCGTGGTTCGAAGGCCACACACGTCCGTTGAGGGACGTTTGCATTGTTTCCAGTTTGGGGGTGCTCCACGTGAAACTGCCACGCACCTTCGCGTGCTGGCTTTTATGTCAGCAGAGCTCTGACGTCCCTGTTAGTGAGTAAATGCCCCAAGTGCAGGTGCTGGTTTGCATCGGAGCTGCACGCTTAGTCTCAGGAGGAACTGCCCCGCTGTCCCCAGAGAGGGGTCCCACTTTGCCAGCAGCACTGTTTTCTTAGCTTTTTGCTGTAGGACCACATGTCCTCGCCAGAGAGAGAGCGAGAAATCACCCTCCAGGGGGGTGGCCACCACAGTCCTTTCTCCTCCATTCTCCTGCTGGTCCCACCAGCAACACTTTTAAAGTAACATGGTTTTTTTGTGTGTTTGTTTTTCTTTGTTTTGTTTTGTTTTTTTTTATGGTGGTATTATCAGTGCACATTTGGAGAGTAATACATGCACGTAAAATAAATAAATGAATATTCAGTCCACTCTAGACAATGTTTGGTACCGTAATGGTTTGAAAATCATTATTTCGTTATAAGAGGAATGGGAATCTTGTCTATAGGTTGGAAACCACTGGAGTAGGTATTTTATTACTAAAAACAATAATCCCATTGTAAGCCTGTGCATAAGAAGTGTATTTCTGGGACCAGCAGGTTGCCTCATGGTTACATCGCTGGACTCCCACATAGTTGACTGTGGTTCCATCCTGGACCCGGATGCTTGAAAAATGCCGGGCGTGTGTGCGGGCGTGCCCAAGATCCCGAGAGGAGAATGGAGGAGAAGGGATTGCGGCGTGGCCATCTCCCCTGGGGGGTGATTTCTCACTTTCTGTCTCTGGTGAATGCGTGTGCCCTGTAGCAAAAATCTCTCTTAAAAAAAGAAAGTGTATTTCCCACATGCTCAGTGGAGAACATTTGGAGAATAAGAAAAATATGAAGAAGCGTTCGGGAGAGAGCTGCCCACAGTCCGTGACTGCGACGGAAGCATCTTCTGGCAGTCGTTCTGTGCATTTGAAAACCCTCATTCCGGGGGCCAGCCGGTGGTGCAGCGAATAAGGCGCTGAACTCCCACATGGCTGATTGTGGTTCGAGTCCCAGTCCTGGTGGCTTGAAAGTCACGCTGAGCTTATGTGCGCATGTGCCCAAATCCCGAGAATAGAATAGAGGAGATGAGATTGCAGCATGGCTGTCCATTCTGGGGGGTGATTTCTTACTTTCTCTCTGTCTCTCTGGCCAATACATGCACCCTATAACAAAAATCTCTCTTTAAAAAAAGTTGGGGCCAGCAGGTGGCACGGTGGTTAAGGACACTGGACTCCTACATGGCTGACCGCAGTTTGAGTCCTGGACCTGGCAGCTTGCTTTCTCGTTTCCTCTCTCTCTCTCTCTCTCTCTCTCTCTCTCTCATTCACTCACTCACTCACTCTGTCCCTCTCTGTTCAAATGGAATAAAGTTAAATAAAGTAATTATTTAAGAAAAACAGCTGTGTGAGCACAGTCTGGCCCGCCGGGGTACAGAGCCGGTGCCAGTGTTCTCTAGGGAGCCTGGAGCATGACGGGAGGCGCCCTGTGGGTGGCGGGTGCTGCATAGGAAGAGGTACGTCTGAGAAAGCCTACGGAGCGCAAGGGGGCCCAGGGACGAGGCCCTGCCACCATGTTGTCTGTGTATGTGAAAATGGAGCGGCAGGTATTGCCCCAGTAGAGTCGGGCAGGCCCTTTCCTTTTCCTGCTGTCTGACCTTTTTATTATTTTTTAAAGAATTATTTTTTAAATGTTATTTATCCATTTATTTTCATTTGACAGAGAAAGGAAAGGGAAATGAGAAAGCAAGCCACCAGGTCCAGGACTGAACCGTGGTCAGCCATGTGGGAGTGTCTGGTGCCGTAACCACCATGCCACCTGCTGCTCCCCCCGTTCCACCCTTTGCCAAAACATTCATGGACCCTTTGCTCCATTGTGATGTGACAGGATGACATCATCGATGACGTGGACAGCTTTCTTGCTGCGGCAGAGACCCTGAAGGAGAGGGGCGCGTATAAGATCTTCGTGATGGCGACTCATGGCTTGTTATCCTCCGACGCCCCCCGGCTGATCGAAGAATCTGCTATCGACGAGGTAACCGGGCTGGCGGGTGGGTCGGCTGTCCTGGGCACCGCGGCACACCCAGTCCGCAGTTATGCGAGTAGGTGGGAGGTGAGCGTGTCCGGGGCTGGCCCTGCAGCCTCATGGTCAAGGAGGCTCCGCGTGAGCAGCCACTGACCGAATCTCGAGTGACGCGCGGGGCGCGTGTGCGTGCGTGCCCCGAGTCCTGACGGGGAATGGAGGCGACGGGCTTGCAGGGCCACTGTCCCCACTAGGGAGGGTGCTTTCTCTCTCTCTGGCAAGCACACACGCCCTCTGGCAAGGTGAAAACAAACGGAATGGATTCAAAGCGTGAGATTATTTCTTAGTGAATATTAGCCTCTATTTTAACATTTTTTTTAAAAAAACTATTCTATTTAACGTTATTGATTGATTGATTGATCGATGGATTGACCAGCGAGGGATAGAGCCGGAGAGTGAGAGAGGAAAGTGAGAAAGCAAGCCACCGAACCGGGGACTCAAACCACGATCAGCCATGTGGGGTTCCGGCGCCCCTGACCACCACGCCACCTGCCAGACTGGCCCTCCGTCACAGTTGTACAGTAGCCACTTCATGAGGTGTGGCTCAGACTGCAGTCACCCGCCTCGAGCGCACAGGGCCAGCCATCTCCGAGTGCTCAGAGTCCCGGTCATCGCCACGCTTGATTTTCGAGTATTTCTTATCCCCCCAAAAGGAGCCCAGACCCGTCGGCCCTCACCCCGTATTCTCTGAGCCCCTGGCCTTGCCCTGGCAGCCACCCACCTCGCTCTCTGCTGACCTGCCCGGGACAGCACACGAGCGCGTCATGCGGTCACTCCGTGGGCTCCGGTGCCGGCCGCTCACTCGGCCTCGTGTGTTCAGCCCTCCTGGTGCAGGGGGACCAGTGCTTTGCCCACTCCCTCCCCTGCCCAGATGGTGCTGACCGCTGGGTAGCGCCACCTTGTCTGGAGGGGAGTTCGGGCTGCTTCAGCCCTGCTTGCTGTGAGCGATGCGGCCCTAGCCCTCGCACACGCGATGCTGTGTAGGCCGCCGGTTCTCTCGGCTCTGCGCCCAGGAGTAGAGGTGCCATGTCGTGTTGTGACCCCGCATTTAAACATTTGAGGAGCAGTCGGGCTGCCCACACAGCTGTCCCGTCCCGCACCGCACCCCGAGAGTGCGGGGTTCCCGTTTCTCCATCTCCCCAGCAGTTACTGCATTGTTTTAGGAGAGATTTTTGCTATAGAGTGTGAGCGCTCGCTGGAGAGACAGAGACAGGCAGAGAGAAGCCACCCCGGGGGTGGGCGGGCGTGCACAGCCCCCCAGGTTTCCAGCGTGTCCCCGTCCCACACCGAGCCCGGACACCCCTGGCCTCCCGATGGGCCAGCCCTTCGTGCTCTGTCCCTCGCCTCGCCGGAGCCGCCGGCCCTCCCCGTCGGCTCACCTGCCCTGTGTCCCCTGCCTCACAGGTGGTGGTCACCAACACGATCCCACACGAGATCCAGAAGCTCCAGTGCCCCAAGATTAAAACCGTGGACATCAGCATGATCCTGTCGGAGGCCATCCGCCGCATCCACAACGGGGAGTCCATGTCCTACCTCTTCAGGAACATCGGGCTGGACGACTGACCGGCCTCCTGGTCACCCGCGAGGGCCACGCTGGAAACCGGAACAAGCGCTGTGAGGGCCTGCTGCCCGGCGCGGCCCGGCGCCCGCCGCCGCACCGCCCTGCCCGTCCCTGGGACCTAGACCAACTTTTATGTCCGTTTGGGTGTTTGAGTTTTAGGAGCAATTTTTATAAAAGAAAACTTGATTCTCCTCTTACATAAGTTAGCCTGGTCGTTTTTAGCTTAACCGTTTAAAAAATAACCCTTGGAATAAACTTTCTAAGCTCACGAACAGCCTTTGCCCAAAGTCGCTTGAGCCAAGTGCTTAAAAAAAGTTAATGAAACAAAATGACCTACTGTGCGTTACTGTAATTGACAAGCCAGGAAGGTGATACTGTTGAATCCAGTAAATGACGTTTTTAGAAATGCTTTTATAGACAAGCATATGGAATATGTGATTGTATTTATTTTCTGCGACAAAAGAAGGAATAAAAACTTGTGTTTGTGTTTTTTAAAACGTGTTTTGGCCGTTGTTTTATAACCACAATAAAACGGGAGCTGACTGAGCTCGTGGGTGTCGAGCGTGCCTCGGCGCATTCTCTCGGACGTGATGTCCCCTGAGCGACGCGCTGTCACAGACCGGGCCGTGCCCCACGCGCAGTCTCTGGGCTGAGGAAGGAGAGGTTTGGATTTCAGGGCGCGCAGCCCCTGGACCGCAGTCAGCGAGCAGGTGTCTCGGTGCCGCCCCGCTCCTTTTTCTTTAAGTCGCCAGTGGGTGTGGAGCGGGAGCGGGGGCGGGGAGAGCTCACTGGCACGGAAGCCGCCGCCCGTTAAGCACCGGCTGCGTGCCAGGCATCGTCGGCACCTTACGTCGTTTGC